TTCCCAGAAGGCATTGCTGCTGCTGGCAGAGGTTCCTTCCTTGGCTCCTCCCCAAGTACAGAAAAAGCTCAGGTGACAGCTTCTGGCGTTTGCAGCCAGCTACAGTTGGATTGTGAGCCTGGTAGCTAATTTGGAAGGATATTATGCCTTTTACAGAATTTGGCACGTTCTTGCCATTTATTGCCGGACCTAGCGGAGGAAGACCTTTTTCCATGGTTGCAGAACACAACTTTGAAATTTAGGGACGTTCTCAGATTCAATGAAAAAGCAGTCTCTGATGACTGAATTGCCCTTTGTTTCATTTTGGAGTTGGTGGAGACAATGAATTCATCACCTTCACAAGAAGATCTGGGGGGCTAGAAGCTCTTAAGCTGGCTCTTCCTGGCTACCATTTCGCAGATTCTCTTCAGGTTTCATTGAAATGTCATTGAGTTGCTTTGTGAACCTAAATAAACCCATTTAGTTTGGATTGAATAACACAAAAAACTAAGTGAAAGAACGCAACCAAAAGGGTCTGAGTTCGAACACCAATTTCTCAAGTTCGTTCTCTATAATTTCACCTCAGACCAAGGGATTGGCAGACTGAATAACAAGGATACAAAGAACTTGCTGTGGTATCCTCTGATGTGGCACAGCAGAGGGTCAACTGCAGTTCCACTGGGGCCCCTGTTTCATTACTCCTTTTAATGAGATGAACAGAGAGTCCCTCCTTTTGGACACACCAGCTGGAAGAAAGAGCCCATTAGCACTTACAAAATCTACTGCTACGGAAGCAATCCTTGCCTGCACCTCAGCTAACAACATGAGTGGTCTCTGTCCCACTGCCATCTAGTGATAGTATCCCAACCTGGCCCAGACCACTATAGAATAGAAAGTTGACCACAAACAGCCCTGGAAACTCTCATTTCTTGGATTGAAATGCTATCCATCCATTCCTCTTTCACTGAAAAACACATCCTGTTTGGCCTCAGAGGGTGGTGTGATTTAAAGTCAGGGCTTCATTCCTGAGGTCTCAGATAGGAGATCTACGGAGACATCTTCTTAAGAAACCAATTAATTGTAACTATAATAACCATACCTCAATAGGATAATAAGGTTCAAAGAACCTCCTGAGGATCACTTACTTGTGACTAGTATGCCTTTATGCTGGTAAATTTTAAAACATCCAGGAAAAGACTCTGTTGTTCTTTTCTTAAGACATCCACATGGAATTAATATGAATAACACTTAGAGATGAATCCAACTCTCTGGTCCATTTATGTGTCTTGTGTCTAACATTCTAGATCTTAAATTATTTTTGTCACTACTTTCTAGCTGTGAATAGACAACAACCATGTCTATTCCATACATGTTCCCAAGGTTTCTAGTCATGGGGATGTTATATTCCCGTCTTTGTGTACAGATTGTGGTTTATAGGGATGTTTGGAAGTTGTGTAGAAATTCAGTAGTAATATTTGTTGCATGCTTTCTATCATGGTTGAGGGGCTTAGAGCTAAGTTCTTCATGTCTTCACTTGCTTGTCCCTCTTCAACAACTGAACAAAGTAAGTACCATTTTCCAAAGATCCCATATGGCAAGCATCACATGATTAATGAACTTTCCCAAGGTCACACTGATGATTATTAGGCAAGTCGAGAATGGAATGGAACCTGACTTGAGAACAAATGAAGGTGACTGTGACACTAGGTGAAAACAGAGCTGGTACTGGGTGTCCTCCACGTGGTCCTAAGGGACACTTCCAGCGCATTTTGGTCTCCATTGGAGTTCTCCATCCTAGCTGTACAAACTTTACCATCATGTTTAAGACAGTGTGTGATGCATTTGTAGCAATACGATCACCACATTTCCTCAGGCTCTCTTCCCAGCTTTTTGTGAGATTTTTTTGTTCCTTTTTTTACATTGCTTCATTTTTCTCTAGATCAGGGTAAAGTCTGAAGGCTTAAATTAAAAATGTTTCTATATTCACCTTCTCTCTGTGTTGTTGTTGTCACTTTCTTTTTATTGGTTAGAGGACATGAAGCCATGAGCTACTATTTTACACAGAGCAGCAGTTGATCATCACCAATTACCATTATTTTAACGTTTACTTCAGTTATAATGGATATAAACAAACATTTTCATGATAAATTAATTGCTAAAATAATAATTAATAAATTAATTAATGTTGATTAGCCCAAACATTTTAGGAATTCGTTAAGAAATTGTACTTCCTTTTAACTAAAATTTTCGTTGAGGTTTATTCATTCTACAATGTTGTTTCATAAAGAAAATTTTCGAGTATATCATTTGGCTTGCCCATATTTATCCCCCATACCCTCCTCTTTCTGCCCCATGCTCTCCCTCCTCTCACTAGTTTAGTTTCCTCATTACAGTTTACTTTCATGTCATTGATGTAAACCGTTTTACATATCTGTGTATTATCCAGTATCCACAAATGAGAGAAACCATGTGATATTTGTCTTCCTGAGTCTGGCTCATTTCATTTAGCACATGAGCTTTATTTGCATCTATTTCCAGCAACATAATCCATCCTTTTTATGGGTATATAAATCTGTACTATGTATATGTGCCATGCTCTCCTTATCTCAGTACCTAGAGTAAACACTTTCTTAGAATAAAATTTAAAAATAATAACCAAAATTGTGCAAGTTGATTGGTAGAAAGTCCACATTGAAGGAGCTGGAATAATGGTTCAGCAATTAAGAGCACTTGGGGTTCTCCCAGAGGACCCAGCTTGAGAGCCTATCAGAGTCAGGGAGTTCACAACTTCCTCTAACTTCAGTTCCCAGAGTATGGACACCTTTGGTCTCCATGGACACCTGCACTCAGATGCACATACTCATATCCGTACACACACTTACCCATAATAAAAATAAAAACAATTTTTTTTAAAAAAAGATAACATTTAAGATGAGTCAAACTCCTGTGTGTACAGCAAATGTTAATGCTACCTGCAGATATATAAAGATATCTTCTAAAAAGGCTATATTTAACTTTATGTTATCTGACAATTTTCCTGTGATAGGGGCCCATTGTAAAGGCTACATCTCTACTACCCATTACCAGTCAACTCTATTATTACCTTTTGCTTGATTTAGATATATTTTATAGTAATAAAACAATCCTATGGAGAAAAAAGATGGGTCAAACTCAATGTACTTGTCAAATTATTAGTATTTTATTTATTTTCTTCCCGGTGTTCCATTTCTTTAGACTCTTTAGGATCAGGTCAAGGAAACCAACTTGCATCAGCTGGTCTGTTCTCAAGGATTCTAGACAGACTCACTCCTAGGTTGGTGACCTTAAGGATATGCTTCATGACTTTGTTCCAATTTCTATAACTTGGGAGGCCTTATCAGCATTTTATGTGAATATTTGTTTAATTTCCTCCTTAAGTGTTGCCTGCCTGATCTTTATTATCTATTCTAAAAGAACATTTTTGCCATTTTCAGGTCATAGTATAACAGCGAAAGAAACTGTTATGCTAAAGAAAGCAATTATGATCTAGAACAAAACAAAACGGCACCCAAAATGAATGTGAAGTGGGTATTGAAGATGTGTCCTTTTCAATTTTTCTTTTTAAATGGCAAGAACATTAGTAATAATAAAAAAAAACTACAGAAATGTTTTTAGGCTCTCATAAGATGACATATGGTAAGCACTTACAACATTACCAGCCACGCAGTAGGAGCTCAGAGAGTCACCCGGTTGGTGGGAGTGACTCTTGTGGCTCAGGGGGTTAGTTCTTAATAATTGGTTGAGGGAGAAGAAAATGCTCACCCACAGCAGATAGCAAAAGCTGACAGGATGCATTCTGGGAATTGTGTCCATGGTAGCTTGATTTGGGAGAGATGAGAGATCAGACTGTGGAAACCTTCAGGGTAGGATGGAATTAATATTCCACCAAAGAACCTAAAAGATATGCATATATGCATAGTACCCAAGAGAAGAGGATTGAGACAAGATCCTCTGAATGGATGGCGAACACGGTGAGGGGTGAGGGGGAGTGGGAGCTGGGAAGAAGAGAGGGGGAGAAGAGAAAGAGAGAGTAGGTCATGGTGGAACAGGAAGTTGAGTGGGTGAGGGTAGAATAGGGGGAAGAGGGAATCATAGGTTAGAAGACAGATCAGGCGCCAGAGTTACCTCTAGTGATCTAAACGGATGACACCAATTGGCAAGCTAAGTAATAGTGGAGAGACCACCTCGAAGGCCCATTCCTGATAATGAACTTGATGTCTATAACCATCTGGGAGCCTTCATCCAGTGGCTGATGGAAGCAGAGGCAAACACACAATTAAGCACTGAACTTAACCCAAGGAACTCAGTGGCAGAGGGAGAGGAGTGATGAGCAAATTGGCAAAGAATGGGCTGGCAAAACCAGCAGAGACAGCTGATCTGAACAGGGGAGAGCTCTTGGACCCCAGACTGACAGCGGGGAGGCTAACATGGGACTGATCTGGACCCCCCCAAATGTGAGTGTCAGTGAGAAGGCCTGGGCAACCTATGGGGCCTTGAGCAGTGGATCAGTGTCTATCCCTGGAATACAAACAGTCTTCGTGTGCCTATAGCACAAAGAGGGATGCTCTCTCAGCCTGGACTCTTAGGGGAATGCCTGGACCCTACCCAGAGTGAAATGACAGACTCTAGATATCCCCTATGTGGAAGGAATTGGCAATAGGGTGGGAGGCTGGGGAGGAAGGGGAGTGCGGGAGGAGGGGAGGGAGAGGGAACTGGGATTGCCATGTAAAACAAGCTATTTAAAATTAAAATAAAAATGATATAAAAATATTCCACCAAATAGAAACACCATGGAGAACAAGTAAAGCGCCGCCCCCGCCCCCATATTCCCAGTAAGGTGAGAATTCTACTATCTTTCTCACATTCATCTGCCTGTTTGTTTGTTTTCTGTTTAGGTATGTCAGATAGAGACTTTAAGCTGTTTTCTTTTTGTATTCAAAATGCGATGTGAAGCTAAGATTAATATTCTTCTTTTGGTCTAGAGGCCACAATTGGCTGACGTGTTGCACCTAGGTTGTGAAGTTACCTGCAATCTCGGAAGACCTCGCGCCTCTCCTGATTGTGAGATTTTTAAAACGCTTATCTGAGGTTTTGGAGGGAGAGGGTGGTTCTTGGTCTATATGCATCTTTGTTATAGTATTGTTTGTTTTATGTTTTATTGAAATAAGTTTGCATTCAACAGAATGGGTTGGTGTGGCATTCATGCTGTAATACAGGAAATCCTCCTGTCTCAACCTAAGTGCTGGGATTACAGGCTTGAGCCACCATACATAGCTAGAATGTTTTTTAGAGGATATGAGGTTTGACAAAGACAGAGACACAAAGACACTGGAAAAAGAAGCAATAATTTGGATCCAGGACATATGAACTCTCTCCCTGCAGGCGGAGACGATCATCTGAGCATTGCCAATGCCTTACACAGACCTTTCAGCCAGACCCCAAATAGCAATCCATCCTAACCATAATTCCTGTATTCACTTACTTGTGCATTGCTCTTTATTTCTCGTGGTCAGCTTTTAGCTTTGAAACTCTGTGGTATGTGAACAGTTTTAATACTCCAGGCCCTTTTTGTTTGTAAGTAAGTCATAATTAAGTTTGTTTTGAAAGTTTCCCCATGGCCTAAGGACTTGCATCGCTATTACTGTCAAGACATGTTTGGAGGACAGAGTGGAATAATGTATGTAAAAATGCATTCAGTTTTTACGTAAGCAGAGGTGGTTTGTGTGTATAAATACAGATGTCTTTAATAGTTTCAGACTTCAAAGGAAAGCACGTCTATACAACAACATTTCCCAACTGGTTTCAAAGCTCAAGCTATATCTGAATTTCATGGAAAAAACTGAAGGCCAGTTTGCTTTCTTAACATGGTAATGAGTTCTAGCTGAAAGAAGCATGGCTGTGGCTATAGATGGGAAGGTTTTAATACCTTTGCCAAGATTAAAGACTAAAGGGAAGAAAAGTCTAATTTTCTCTCCATAAACCTTCCTTTTAATAGATGGGGAGGGAAGATCTAAGATTCTGAGGCTTTAGCTGCAGTGATGCGGTGTGGTGCTTTTAAGACATGGAATAGTTTCGTGAGATATCGTAGTTTGGTTTTTGTTCTAGATGGCAGTCTCTTGTAGGGAGAAGATTGGAAATCTCCATTGCCATTCTTTCCTCCTAGTAAACCACAGGCTGAGACTTAACAGTTTTATTTCCTGTAGTGATGTTACTCATATGATGACCCTTACATCTTGAGCTGCATAAAGAGAGTGGTCCCTGAGCATGTGGGAGTGGCCTTCTAGACCCGAGGAGATACAGCTCATGCAGTAGCTTGGGGAAGAGTATGAGTGTCAACTTTGACATCGTTTTAGCCAGGACTCAGTGTTGGAATGAGCACATAAGGCCACTTCCTGCTTTCCCCCATCTGTGTGTCTCACAGTGGCCATAGCAGTTTATGGATGCCCACTTCTAAGGACTGTGAACTCTTTTAATTCACTGCATAAGGTGCCTTAAAACACAGAATGCATCTTGTTTGGCTCAATACTTTCAAAAGCTGGACTCTTTAGCCTTTGAGAATGAAGTACCAGGTTAAGAATCAAACACATCTGGGCTGGGTCGTATTCAGTCCTTTAGCAATTTGTCAAATGACTCCAGTTCTTTTTCTCTTACTCAGTCACAGCACAGTGACTCTTCAGTTCCGCACATATGAAAACCACAAACAGGAAATATAACTGGACTGACAAGGTGGCTCAGTGGGTAAAGGCACCTGCTACCAGGTCTAGTGGCCTGAGTTTGATCCACATGATGGAAAGAATCAACTAACTTCTATACGCTGTCCTCTGAGCTACACAGGTACACTGCGCCATGCACGGACTTCCGCTCCCCCCACCAAGGTAAATAAGTGAAAGACTATACATAAAGCTACAGCTGATCCCATGTTTTGGGGAAATACAGAGTCAATAAAACAGCACCCAATTGCTGTCTCTTGATGGTCTCTTTTTATTTGTGGCTTTTCTCTCTTACTCTTATTTCCATTAAGTTTCTTCCTTTCCAGTACACATGGATTGGTTGCTATTGCCAAATTCTTGGTCTCTATTGTCACTGTTTGGCAGTCATTTGATGTCTGTAGTAGTCAAACCAGTTGGGTAATTCACATTTATTATGGAACAAATTTTATGATATTATTTGTTCTCATTTTCTTCTTTTTGCCAATTATAAAAATGAGTGCTAGAGAGGAACTTTCTTTCTATCCAAAGTAGTTTCAACAAAAGCAATTCAGCGGAATGACTAGACATTGTTTTATGTGTGTGTGTATTTGTGTATGTGGGTGTTACATGTATTTAATTATGTGTGGGTATGTGCACATAAGTGCAGGTTCACACGCATGTGTGTACATGCGCAGGCAGAGGCCCAGAGGGCATCTTCTTTGTGTGTGTGTGTGCACATATGTGCAGGTTCACACGCATGTGTGTACATGCGCAGGCAGAGGCCCAGAGGGCATCTTCTTTGTGTGTGTGTGTGCACATATGTGCAGGTTCACACGCATGTGTGTACATGCGCAGGCAGAGGCCCAGAGGGCATCTTCTTTGTGTGGGTATGTGCACATATGTGCAGGTTCACACGCATGTGTGTACATGTGCAGGCAGAGGCCCAGAGGGCATCTTCTTTGTGTGTGTGTGTTGAGTGAACTCTAGATGTCTTGCCACTGTGGTTCAGAGGACACATTAATATAAAGTAGTTCTGGTTCTTCTTCATTCCCCATTTATTTACAGCACTAATGAGATACGAATCAGCCCATATGCTGTGATATGGATACTTAAGATGCTAAAATTCCAGACTTCAGCCACTGGGCTTTATGGTAAATACTCAATTTGCGAATCCTACTGGTGTCAAGATTAGAGACCCAAAAGCTAGATCAAGTGGTTATCTATTATGGTGGGAAAATAGTGATTGACCACAGGAACTACCTGGCAGAATTCGCAATGTAGAAGCTTTTCTTATGGATTTTGAATAGTTGGGTGGGATAATGATTTGTTAGATTTCAAAGGTAATACCATTTAAGGTAGTGTGTTATAGATGGGATGAAGTTCAAAGATGTATTGCAAAGAATAAACAGCAACATCATTGCTTTGCTTCTGTGGAGACTAAATGTTTTACACATCAGGCTCTACAAGCATCCAATGCTGAGCAAGATAGAATAGTTGTGCTTTGGTGAGGGCATGTGTATATATGTGCATAGATAAGATATAAATATTAAAACTACATAAATCAATAAAATAAATTATCTAAAATATGTGAACAAATAGTAAATTATATAAATAAATAAAATTGTAATTTATTTATGTTTATTTATTTAATTATTTAAAATAATACTATTTATATATTTATGTATATTTTATTTATGTAGCTAATGTAGTTAGGGTTTCTATTGTTATGAAGAGACACCATGACCACAGGAACTCTTATAAAGGAAAACATTTAATTGGATGGCTTATAGTTTCAGAGGTTTAGTCCATGGTGGGTCATGGCTGCATGCAGGCAGACATGGTACTACAGAGGTAGCTGAGAGTTCTACATTTTGCATGCAACAGAAAGTGATCTGTCTCTGGGCGTGGCTTGAGTATACATGAGACCTCAAAGCCCACCTCCACGGTGTCACAATTCCTCCAACAAGGTTACACCTACTCCAACAAGGCCACACTTTCCATTAGTGCTATTCCCTTTGGGGGGCATTTTCTTCTGAACTACCACAGTCCACTCCCTGGCCCCCAAAGACTTGTAGCCACATCATAGTGCAAAAACGCATTCAGTGCAATTTCAAAAGTCCCCAGAGTCTAAAGCAGTCTCAAACATATTTAAAAGTCTAAAGTTCAAAGTGTCTTCTGAGATTCATTCACTCTCTTAACTGTAATTCTCTGTAACATTAAAATAAAAAATCACATACTTATTATTGTATCACAAGTTATATTTATTATTTAAAGATATTATTTATATTAAAATTCAATTAAATTTAAATTTCAAATTAGATATATAAGTATACAATTGCTATTTGGAAAAATAGAGTAAATTAATACAAATTGTCAGGATGACTATTTAAGCCTGGTGATTACAAAAGGACTCTTTGAAGCAGAGTTATCTAAAATCATGAGTAATGACCAAGAAAAGTTAGTCATTTGTTGATGCAAGAGAACAAGAAGTCTTCTAGAGTCTAGGAATCTTACGACCAGAAGGAGAGCTAATAAGTCGTAGAGGTTAGCTCACACAGGCCTTTGAAGTCTTAGGCAACAAGCTGGTATTTTATTCTTATTGGTGGGGAAGTAGTAGAAAGCTTAAGTCAATTTGTATCTATGGCCTGATCAAATATGGGTTTTGGAAGATACCTCCCATTGCTGGGTTTTAGGGGTCTGGTTGAATAAAGATCATTTAGTGGTTATGAGATAACTGTAGTAAGACCAACATCCAATAACCACAGCTAACACATACTCTTTTCTTGTATGTACTGGCAACGAGCTAGTTATCACACATGCCATGTACTTCAACAACGCACAGAGTAATTTTCAGATGTGTAAAGAGACTGTGATCCAAAAAATACAAATCACATCAGCAATTCTCCCAAATGGGGTAGTTTTAGCTACACAATAGTAAATACATGGGAAGTATGCTTGTATATGCAGGGGCTTGAGTAACTTCTTGGCTTTACAGTGACCTTTATATTTAAAAATACTAGAAGTGAATATTTTAGCTAGAGAGAATATTATTTCCTACCAGGATACACTCCACTATGGCAAAGGGGAGGAGCCTAAAGAGACTAAGCTTAGAAGAAGGAAGAAATGGAGACAGGACAAGCTATAGATCTTTTTACTTCAGCAAAGAGACTTAACCTCAAAAAAAACCATTGAGAACAGCAATAATTCCCATCATGCATGAGTAAGTGATAGTCTCAGGTGAGAAGGGCTTAGCAGAGCATACGAGTTGGGTTCTGAACTGAGGATTCTGTCAGTGGCAGCCAAAGTTTGAGTGAGGTGCACTTTGAGTCATTGCTGGAAAAGAGGTTGGGCTCAGAGAAAGAGGAACTGGAGGGGGAAAGTGACAGTGCAATCTTAAGAAGACAGCAGTGCCTATGGAGCCATCCCAGGGAGACACACACTTTATCCAGAAGGAAGAATAGGAAGACAAGCAGCAGAAAGATCAGTGAGGCTGTCCAAGGTGTCGGTATTTGCCCAAAATCGATCCCAGGGCCTCAGGCTCCTTTGGCCTGCTCCTCATTCAACAGAGAACATGAATCTTCAAGAATGCAGGTACATTTGAGATGGTAGGACATCCCCTCTTGACATTCTGGAATATTCCCTCTTGACATGCTGTTGGGACTGTGGTAGACTGGTTTGAGGTGCTAGGTTCATTTGATATCAATGTTCAACTTACTACCTCAAAGTTGACTAAAATTGAAGCAACTGTATCATAGAAATTAGAAAAGACTGCATGTTTTCACACTGAGATTTAATTTACTATAAGTACATTGGTTGACATAACTCCCAGGTTGCTGGATCCAATGTTGCAATGATATATATATATATATATATATATATATATATATATATATCAGGCATGGAATTGCTCCTGGAGATTTTGTATCAATAGTTTCTTTCTGGTTTATAGACTAAATCATTTGTTTTGTTCATAGTTTTGAAGGCAACGAATGATGGGGAATGTTCTTCTGTGTATATGTTTGTCTTTTTGGTTGATGAATAAAACACTGATAGGCGAGGCAGGATGATATGTAGGACTATGAGACAAGGAGGATTCTGGGAAGTGTAGGCAAAGAGGATCTGTATAGGCAGGCAGGAAGTGATGAAGCTCGGCAGAATCAGAATATAAGCAGGGACAAACAGGAACTCACTCTCTTCTCTGCAGAGATGCTGAGCAGTCATCATGAAGGATGCAAGAGGAGTAACAGGTCTGGACAATTTCCTCCAGTGAGATTAAGACCATGTGGAAATACTTTAGAAATTAGTTAATAATTTAAGACAGAGCTTGCCGATAAGAATAGTCACCGGCCAATATTTTCATAATTAATACAGCATCTGTGTGCTTCTTTGGGGCAGAGAAGGGCAGCGGGACCTAGCTGGGCCAAGAAATATTCACGTTACAAGGGAAGTAAGAGAACATGGCACCAGCATCTCATTAGGCTGGGATCCTGGATCATGTAACTCAGATTCATGAAAGAACCAGACAAGACAACTATCTTAAGCATGATTGCAGGAGACCAGTGTGAAGTTTGGAGTGTGCTGAAGAAGCGATGATCTACTCAGCTTCATCTTAAAACATATCAGCAATCTACTTCTTTGACCTCTCTCAAAAGAATCCCTAGTGATAATGTGTTACAAGGATAAAAATTAATAATGTGGACTCTTGTAAGATTGCAGACATTCAACATGGTGCCCATCTATGTCTCTGCAGCATATGTAAAAAAATGTAATTAAAGGATGTTACCATATTTTTCACCCATAATCTCTGAAAGCTAGTTTAACAAAAGTTGCAGGTGCCATATTCCTACACTCATCAATGTTTGCACAGCAAGGTCAAAGTGGCTTATCGCCTTGCTTAAGTTTAATGCAGACAAGTTTCCCAGACGTGAAAGCCCTTGTTGGCAGAGATAATTGCCAAGGACAGTGTTGTGCTGAGGGTGTTGTTCTGAAGTGGAAGGAAACTTGAAATACAGCTTTTTAGCTGGAGGCACAATGTTGAAATGCTTATTGGAGTCAAGGTATTTACAGATTTTTCTCCCTAAGTATTTAAAACAAACAATTCAATTACAAAGCCTTTCTTGAGATGAATTTCCAGAGGGTGTGGTCAACTTTCTGGCAAAATTAGATTGAATTCAAGGGTTTTGAAATCTGCCCTTCAAACTTGCTGGATTTCCATTAGGCTTCAGATCCTCAAATGTTTTATTGCTCATTGACTCAGCTTTCTCAAGAAATTAAAATATAGCTACACGGAAGCAGGCACACTATGGAAAGCACCCCCACGTGGAACACAATTTATTTGGAAGATATATCATTCGTGTCAAACCAGGTTATGGAGCACTCTAATACAGTTAACGTTTGGGGGGAAAACTTTTGCTTGGATTAGAAACTTAATTATTTAAATCTCCCCCCCCCTCAAAGTACTTTAAAGTTCCTCTTGAAAGAACTAGTACTGTTCTTTGGAAATCTTATAAGATTCAGCTGTTTTCAGCCACTTATCTGATACTGAGAAAGCTCTTTCCTTTCCCTTTCTAGCCTTCTGTGTACCTGTTTTGAAGGCCTGCCACTGAATGAACACATTTTGAAGGCTAAGGCAAGCCCTGCTCCACTCCCTCATGCCCTTGATATACACATCACAGCAAAGTTTCCTCCACCCAGATTCCTTTTTAAGCCACAGCAACCACGAGTGTTTAACATCCATCTTTACCTTTTCTTCCCCCTTTGGTCTTCAAGCCAGGTGAGCTATAAATTGGGGTAAAATGTACAGCTGGGTCAACAAAGGGGGACGGGGGATGAAACCATTTCCTATCATTTTTCACAAGCTTCGAAAAACACGGTTGGCAGTGTGTGTGTGTGTGTGTGGGGTTAAAACGGGAAGCAAGATTGCACATATAAATTAAATATTTTCACCCCAACTCTTTTTTGATAGCCTGGGGGTATTAAGAATGTGTGTTTTGGAAGGGCTCAGCAAGCATTCCAACAGTAAATACCTTCCTGTTCACTGTGTTCGAAGTCAGGCTGTCTTCTGGGGTTGTTTTAAAAATATGTGTGAAATATGTACTTTTATTTCAAGCCAAGCCAAATGTTTTCAATCATCCCCCCCCACGTTTGCTTGCTTCCCTTCTCCTCTTTTCCTGTCATTTCTTGCCCCCCAGACAGTAAAATATACCCTGAAATGTGTTTTTATTTTCCAAAAGGAAGTTTAGCGATTAATTATGAGTTACATGTAAACATATATTATTGCCCTCAAAGGTATTTGCCACAAACCTGGCCAGTGTTGTTCCCGGCTGGCATTCTTGAGTTCAGTCTTGGGCAATGGGAGTCAGAGAAACATGCACAGAAACCAAGTATTTGGCTCATGCACGACTGGGAACCAGCAGATAATTGAGGGTGAGAAATGGTCTATAACTCTTCACCCCAGTGGTGATGAACCTATAATTCCCAAATTGTTTGTGTAATTTTCTATTTCTACCACATCAGAGACAAATATTATTTTGTACTGCATGTTCTTTGTGGACTTTTTTTTTCATCAGCAAAGTCCAATTAAGATGCCTGAAAGGAAAATAACATACCTGGGGCCATCAGACCTGGCAAGATGTGCCCAGGAAGGAAAATACAGACCTCTGGTGGAAGCCACAGAGCCCCTCTGCCAAATGTTACTCTTATGTTGATAGACTTTAAGAATATATATCAAGTGTCTTAATTAGAGGAAATTATGTGATATTCAAATTCAATATCAAGCTGTCGAGGAAGCTTTTATATTTGGCTTGGGCTGCTGGGGCATCAGAGATCCTGTAAAGAAGGTCTCAGACAGAGGTTCTATGTTCCCTTTGAGTAAGCCCGTTAAAGTTCAGGAATGTTCGTAGACAACTATATTTACTAACAGTACCAGGTGTCAGAGTTGGTATTTCCAAATTTAAATTTTATTTAATGTAACTGATTATTTATATTATTTTATGAATTCTATGCCTTGTGTGGAAGGTGGGGAGGGGAAGCCAAGCCTTGCAAAAATAAATATCTAAGGGTAATTTATTCAAAGAATGTGTCCTGATATGTGATTCTAGGTTTTTAGGGTTTGTTGTTTCCAGGTTAGTTTAACTCAGCAAACACTTATTAAACTATCGACTGTGCAAAGCTCAATGCTGGTTGCTGTTAACAGCTCCTAATAACCTGAAAGTAATTCAGCTTGACCTGGCCCAACACTCTTTTATTATAAAAATCTGTCAGGAAAAAATATGACTATGAGAGAACTGTCTCAGCATAATGCCTAGCATTTAATTTTGAAAAAACGATCAGCTAGCCAAGTAGCATCTTGTAAAGATGACCACATTGCAGCCTTTTGGCAAATTTGTGCGTCTTACCCTCAGTAGAGAAAGACTTGAAACTTTTCTCATTAAAAGTCTCAAATGGGATAGAAGTTCCATTTCCATCATTGGCTAGAATTTGGAAATTTTATATAGAACAATTAGATAGGAAAAGGAATAAAGCTTTTCAAGTTGGGAGGCAGAAGTCAAACTTTGTGTATAGAGACATCACCCTATAAAAATTCCTCAAGAATCAACAATATAAGTATTGGAACTAGTTAAGAACTCAGCCCACGGCTGCAGTTTACAGTATCTCACTGTCCTCACTTAAGGACTTATCCTCATAGCAATATTCAATGTTGTGGGATGTGTGTGTGTAAGCTGTCCTAGCCTGGTCAAAAATTGCTTCAATTACTGCTTTCATGGTCATGCAAATATATTAAAATTCTAATGATACTTTAATAATAACTCAAAATTTGGTAAAATTCTGCTGTGGAATAATCCTTCTGTAAATGTGTTCCTCTCAGTGTTAATCAAAATCTGGTTGGCAGATAGCTAGGCAGGATTTTGTAGGCAGTGAGAATGCTGGGAATAAGAATAGTGGAGTCTGGGGAGTTGCTAGTCAGATGTAGAAGATGCAACATAGTAAGTTCATAGATGAGGTAAATGAGCCTTGGGGCACCACATAGATTAATAGAAATGGGTTAATTTAGTTGGAAGAGCTGGCTGGAGACAAGCCTAAGCTGTCAGCCAAGCATCTATATAAGTCTCTGTGTGGAAATTTGGAGTGGCTGCCAGGACACAGAGAAACTCCTCCTACAAAAATCCTAATAGTTATGAATGAGTACTAGTTGAGCATTCCTAACCTGAAGAATATAAATTTGGATGCTGGAGAGATTGCACCGTTCATAAAGTCTCTGGCCCAGCAAGTATAAGGACCTCATTTTGATTCCTGAACCCATATAGAAAGCCTGGAGTGGTCACATGCATACCTTGAATCCCAGTGCTATAGGGGACAGTTACAAGTGTCATTTGGGGATTTTGGGCCACCAGATCAGCTCCAGGTTCAGTGAGAGAGCCAGTCTCAAAGGAATAAAGCAGTTACAGAACAGGACACTTGCTTTCCTTTAGCCTTTGTATAATACATGTACACACATATGTATTACACACACACATACACACACACAAACACACACACACACAAATCTGAAGTGCTTCAGAATCAAAAATGTTTTAAGCACCAATGTGATGCCACAATTGGAAAATTTCATAGCTTCCTTCACATGGCAGGTCATTGTCAAAGATCACCTCACATGCTGTTTTTGGTGTTTGAGTACTTATTTGCTCATATTAATTGTCCATGATTTTAAAAGTTTCTACAAAAGTAGTGTTTCATAACTTATTACACACATGATTATGATAGTTAAAAACCATCACAGTAGAATTTTGGATTCAATTTATATACTTAGAATATTTAAAAATAAATGAAATGACTAGGTAATATATTGTTTAAGGCGTTTGATAGGCATTCGAGTTTTTATATTGGTTGTCACCTTAACGGGATCTAGAAACACCCAGAAGACACGGCTCTGGGAATGTCTTTGAGGGGTCATCTAGAGTCAGTTAATTAATGAGGGAAGATCCACCCTAACTGTGGATGTGCCACCCATGAATGAATTTCAGACCATCTAAAGAGAAGAACGCTCGTAACACGGACTCCATGCCCTCTGCTCCCTTTCTGTGGATGTGACCAGCAGCTGGCTACAGCACTGACAGTCTTACCGCCTGGAACCAAGAGTCCAAACAAAGTCCTTCTCCCTAAAGTTATTCCTGCCAGGTATTTTGTTATAGCTGTGAGACAAGTGACAACACTGGTATTATAATAGGTTGGTAAGACTCCCCCACACAAGTTTGTCTGTTTGTATTTTTTAAACTAAATGGCCAGAGTTGGTTTTGAAAGAAAAAGAGCAATACCATAAAGAGTGAAAACAAAACAAAACAAACAAACAATCAGAAAAACCAGCAACCTCAGAAAGACATCACACTCTGTCTCTGTGAGAAACAAAGCTTCAGATTTGAAAGGAGAGAGCTATTAGGATCAAGAAAACAAGACTACCTAACAAACATATTTTTAAAAAGAACACTGTAACATAATCCCCCCATCTTAGGTGAATGATATACCCCACTAAACCTGGTCTTAAAGTGTGGACTCTAAAGCAAGTGAACTTTTTGTTCTCTTACTTTTTTATAGGGAAATGGATAATTTTATAATGGATATTAGATCTTTTTTTGTTTATAGTAAAATAGATAATTCCCAGACTAGCAAGCACTTCTGTGGTGCTCCAACCCAGGCCAACATTGTTTAGGAGTTTCACTCCCTTGCCATAGGTCTTAACTTATTGTTATCTCCATAGACAGAAACAAAATAGTAACATAGAGAGAAGGAGTTGGTATCACAGCTCTGACATGAATGCAGGATTTACATTTATCTAGCTTCATCAAGGATAGTAAAATTAAGAATCCATTTCTCTAACCATTGTACCACATTGCTCATGACTGTTTTGTTCAAACCTCACAGGAACCAATTATTATGGGTTGAATTGTGTCCCCCTGTCAACAGAAATATAAAATCCGAACCCACAGAATGAATGGGGAAATAAGTTCCTTGCAGATGTGCTTCATCAGGAAGAGATAATACTCAATGGGGATGTTGAATACTTAATGGTTTCTCATCCCATATAGCTAAAGTCCTTTTAAGAAGACGGCCATTTGCAGAAGTAGAAGCAGAGGGAGAAGCCCACTCAAGGCTCAAGGCAGACACACTGGGGTTATGTCACCAAAAGTTTCTAGAATCCAGGAAGAAGCAAGGAAAGTCTCCCCTGCAGACTTTAGAGGGACATAATTCTGTTGAAGCCATGTGGTTGAGCTTCCAAGCCTGTGGAGTGGAGACAGTACATTTCTGTTGTTTTATGGTCTGTGGGTACTTCATTGCTGCAGTCCTCAGAGACCCATAGAGCATGTAATTTCTGCATTTCAGGGTCTGACCAGGTGCCCGGGTGGCCTGTAAGCCCACTCTACACACTCAAACATTGATGTTTCTCACTTAATTTGCCAGATGCATAGGTGATATCTAAACCCATAGACCGAAGGCCAAAGACAATGTTTGCAATTGCTTCTGTATTTGGAATATCAAGTAACACCCTTACAAAGTAATATTTTATCAAATTTTCCATCATAGTATCCAGTTTCTGGGAAGCTAATAATTGTATATTTTTATTCCTTTTGGGAAGGCGGCGATTCACTAAGTCAGTATGAGCTATGCTGGTATCATGTAACTGTATTTACATCTGTCTACCATAATAGAAAAAAACTATCAACCCTAACAACATCATTCAATTACCCATGAATTTTTCCTTTTATACTGATTTTCGTTTTCATATTTAGTTTTGACTGTTGTTTGTCCAACTTTAGGAAATCACTATGTGTCCTGGCTTTAAAAGAAGATATAAATACACATTTTAATTCAAAATCTGTTTTTCACACAAGGTTTTTGGAATGAAACTACCTATACATTTGTCTTGATTGGATACTCAAAATGGAATTTTTTAAAAATTCCTTTTATCATGTTTAAAGAGATGATTCTAGAAGCATCAGATACCTCCCAGGAAGCCAGTCTGCCTCATGCTTCCTCTGTCTCTTTGCACACCTCATCCTTTTTTCAGAGGGAACATATACAGCTGGCAACTGGCGTTTGGAAATCTAAAATGAATCTATTTTTAAATATGGTGCATCACGTTCCCCTGGTATAAGGCTTTAAAAAGCAAACAATTTTAGCTTTTAAAGCCAATACTTTTAAGTGATGTCTTTACCGTACTGAGCATTACACAATGCTTTAATGTGCCATTGCAATTGAACTTCATAAAAGCTCACTGCTGACTTGAAAGGGAGGCAGCCAAGGGGAACCTGAAGCTGGAAGGGACTGTGTGACAAGCTCTAGTAAGTGCCGTTTTGGGAGATCCAATGCTGGGTTGTCTGATCAGAATGGATTTTCATGTGGGCCCTGATAGGGAAAGCAGGAAGGTAGGGGCTTTCCTCATTGGAGGGAACTAGATAAGGGGAATTATGGCCAGGACTCTATCATCTTACAATTGTACCAGGGCTTTCCTTAATTGTTTTTATATAAGCTAACCACTCCCCACTCCCATTGTTCAACACTTCTAAATGAGCATGTAGAGACTGAGATGTTCTGAGCATGAAACAAACAGTGAACTTTTAAGGCTGACCCTAAAAAATGGTTGTAAAAATCTCACTAATATCTTCTACTTAAACATTATAACACAAATATTTAGATATATTGGACTAAGAAAAGTGGATGCTTAAAATTTATTCACTTTGTTATTTTATTTATTTATTTTCGTAGGATGTAGAATAGAATCTTACAATGTTGACCAGTTATGCTTGACCTCTTGATCTGCCTTTCTGTGAGCATCTTTTGGGGGAAGTTGTTCTTCCCATCTGGCTATCCTGAGCAATTCTTTGCTGAGTTCATTGCTACATATAAATGCATTGCTCCCATTGCTACATGTAAGTAAGATTGGTTAAACACTTTGAAAAAAAAGGGTGAGTGTTTTCTTGTGAAAC